AATAAAAAAACAACAATAATAGCAACAAAATCTGTATATGACCATAACATATTCATGTAGTACTAAGAAACAAGCAGTGAGGAGAGGTGTATACAGATATGTATATGTAAGTCACCGTAACTAATTCTATACAATAATGAAACAGTGCCTATTTGCGAAAACCTTTTAAGATAGGATAGATGCGTTCAAATGCCTCGTGAATTTCTCGACGAACTTTCGCTCCAGTTAACACTACTTTGCCAGACACGAATATGAGAAGAACAATCTTTGGATGCATCATTCGATAGATCAAACCAGGAAATAATTCGGGTTCGTAGCTAAATAGAAAACCAAGAGCTCATATTGATCAAGAAAAACAGAATTCAAACCTGCAAAATTGATAATGTTTTAGAACGAGTGCTTCTAATCGAATAGGAAATTTCACATCAACACTTCCGACCATATTTTGAATTTTAAAATCTTTAAATTTTGCCTAAATGTATTCGTAGATAAGAATTACCAATATGTCAAATATCTTACAGGAAAACCCAGCTTTTGAATGACTCGAGCATAACGTCGAGCAGCTTGTAGTGAAGCTTCTTCGCTCTTCGCGCCTGTACAGACCATTTTGCCCGAACCGAAGATCAATGCTGTTGTGCGCGGATTACGAATACGCATGATGACAGCAGCAAAACGTTTTGGATTGTATTCCGCATTTCGTGCCTGTAGGGCAATGCGTTTCAAATCCAATTGACAGCCAAGATTGACTGTTGAGACGATGTTTCTGAAAGGATATTCTTTCAATAACCAAGGAAGGCATAACATTAGTCTATTTACTGTAAACTTGGCTGTAGATGAGAAACATCTGCTGGACGAGGAGTGAAAGGTGTAGCAGCAGCAGCTGAATATGGAGTTGCTGGTGCAACAGAATTTAGATTGTAGGAAGAGACTGATGCTGGTGGGCCCATTGTGGTAGTGATTTTTGACGCAGCTGATGGATAGTGTTGTGTGGTGCTTGTTGGCATTGTATCCATATTGACTGCATAGGCTTCTTCTTTGAGCGCCACACTTCGTGGTGCAGCTGATGGTGGTAAAGACATGGGAGAAGCATGTTGTTCATTCTAAACGCAGATCAATGGACAAAATTGTAAAAATAAGGACTGAGTGTCAAACAAACTTGATGCGAGTGGGGATCATGAAATGCAGGTGAGAATTCCATCTGAACTAAGTGTTGTTTTATTTGAAGGACAAGCTGAAACGAAATATACAATTGTAAAATATCGATTTCGCTTTGTTACCGAAAACAATCTATAGAAATAGAGTTTAAATGTTCGGTAACTGATAGTGTTTCATCACCTTCCTCGTTACGTCGTCAAGTTTGTTATGACTATTGGAATAGAATGAAGGAAGAGTACGAAGTAGTGTAGTATGACAAATAAGGCGAACTACGATTTGTCGACAAAATAAAGAATGCAAAACCAGTCATGATGAAATCACATGTAGAAAAGATGTCGCTCGAAACTGAGCATCATAATAATCAGATGTAAAATGTAAGTAAAGCAGAAAGCATCGATATATTTGTAGGAAAACATGAATTTTTAAAGTAACAAACGCATCGGTAGTGGTGTAATGCATGGAAATACGTTCTTATGTCCCCGAAAAAGGTGTATGTTCTACTGAAAAACGAAACTGACTGTTTCAATATATTATTTTGGCATGTTTCTTCATTCAAAAAAACTTACTCAGTCGATTTTTCACAACTCTCTTGCGTATTGATCGATGAATCGTATATGAAACACTAGTGGACACCAATGAAAGAAAGTTCATTTCGTTTCACCACCTAACGAAAACTGATCATCAACCTTGATTCAAGATTGAAAAGACAGAGCGCGCTAGTTGATGGCATTCATCTGCTGTCTTATTGCTGTCCTGCTGGTTGGAATGCCACCATTGATATAAACTCTTTCTTACTCATAAACGAATACATGATTCATAAATTAAAAGAAAAGCATCACGCTGTTTTCACAAAACTTCAGTTGAAAGAAGTAACAAGCCAGTTTATTTATGCTGCAGGAAGCAATGATCTACAATTCCTGTCAACATCATCGATGATTTTGCCATATTTGCTCTTTCTTCTCTTCTGTGTTTTTTTTCGCGAACAGATAGACAAGATCGAGAGCATTATTTTCTCATTCCAGATACACATCAAACACCATATGGATCTATATTAATATATAGATATATATTATCACTTGATATCATCACGAACAGAAATGGCGAAAGCCTATGATTATTTATTTAAACTACTTTTAATTGGTATGTTGTATTTACTATGAATATCCAAATTCTCAGATGTTGTTTTGTTTTGTTTTGTAGGTGATAGTGGCGTCGGAAAGGTATTGTTATTGATTTCATCGAAAGAAAATCTGTTAAATAAAGCACATAAATCAATTTGTATTTAGACATGCGTGTTATTACGTTTCTGTGATTCAGCATTTAGTACCACATTTATATCAACAATTGGTAAGATCATCGTTGATACGTCTTTCCTTCTGTAACAATTCGTTTTCAATTTCAAGGAATCGATTTCAAAATCCGTACGATTGATCTAGATGGACGAAAAATCAAATTACAAATCTGGTATGTGAGCAAAAAGCATCGTCAACAAAGACATTGCCATGTTTTTCTCTCGTTTACAGGGACACTGCTGGTCAAGTACGAGACATGTTCATTCGTTGTTTATAATCAAAACAAACATATCATGTTTAGGAACGCTTCAAAACAATCACCACTGCATATTATCGTGGCGCTATGGTATTGACAACATACTTTCGATGGAATGACTAATTGTCTCTCTTCCAGGGTATTATGTTGGTGTACGACATAACCAGTGAGAAGAGCTTCGATAATATCAGAAATTGGATACGGAATATTGAAGAAGTATGAATTATAAGGGATAGATTTGAGTTTTGGTTTAATGAATCGTGTTTATTTAGCATGCTTCAGCGGAAGTAGAACGAATGTTGATTGGAAATAAATGTGACATGGAAGATAGACGACAAGTAACCCGAGAGAAGGGTGAATCTGTATGTGATCGTAGAGTTTACAAATTTGATCTGTCTAACAGATTCTTTTCGCTTAGCTGGCTAGAAATTATGGCATTAAATTCTTGGAAACAAGTGCCAAAGGTAATATTGTAAGTATCGATCTGAATATCGATTGACGGAAGAAGTTTCATCAAATGTTATTTAATTTAGAATGTTGAAGATGCATTTTTGTCTCTTGCGAAAGATATCAAAGCAAAAATTGATCAAAAATCAGTAAGATATGCGTAAAAATTTGTTTAAATTTCATTTCAACTAATGAATTTTTCAGGGTTCGGAACAACCGGGTAGGTCAGTGGTAATAAAACCAAAGAAAGATTCAAATAAGAAGCCTGACAACTCGTTTTGGTCGCGTTGTTCATTGTTTTAAATCGAAATCGAATGTCCTCACGGTGCTCAGTGTCTCTGAATGAATTCAAGTCATTGAATGACATGTTTGACGAAAGAAATCATAATCATGTTCAGTTTTTTTATATCAATTCAACGATCCACTTTTGTATATCATTATTCTTTCTTAAATGTATACTTTCTTTTTTTTTCTCTTGGGCCAATATATTCTCTATCTTACGAAATCAAAATCAGCCGAAAATTTTGCTTAGAGGATCATGTCGATGAAAATATTGCCTTTGATGATGTCTTATTGAATAAAACGGACAGAACTGAACCATTATTTGTCAGGTACGTGGATCAGTATGTAAATGTCAGCGATACATTTAATCAACGTATGTGATGAAAAGATTCTTCTTTCTTCGTTTGTATGTCCCGTCGGTTAGATTACTCAACATTTTTGCAACTAGTTTAGTCTGCTTGTTGTATTTGTACTGTTGTCACCTTCGTTCGTGACATAGACGCATATACACAAAAGAAAACGAAGAGTTCGCTTTTTTTTTTCTTCTTCATATATTTGTGCGTGTATTTATCTCACCATTTGATGACAAGAAGAAAGAAGAGAGACCTAGACGAAAGACTAATAGGAAGTACAAAGTAAACAAAACGAATGCGAGAAATATAAAGGGTGACAAGATAAAATAAAATGAACGAGGAAAAGAAGCAAGATGATACTTTCTTCGGGCCTTTTCTTCAAGCGAACATTGAAGATTGTGTTTTGTGTATGTACAACAAAGCAAATGAAACACTGACGAAGGACACATTCGCCTTCGAAACTTCCGCGTTTTTTTCTTCGCTTGCAAATGTTCATATTTAGTTGATGCTAACGGAGAAATGCTGGTTAAACGCGTAAGAGCAAAATTTTTTTCACTCCTTTTCGCTCAGATTTTTGTTCTATAGCGTAGTTAACATAGACGTGAGAAATTCTTGAAGTTTTCAACACGTTTCGTACATTGATCATCGTAATGCGCATGTCGATCTTTCATCAGTTCTCATTCCGCATCGAAGAACCGATAAACAGCATACGCATGTTCGTACAGATTACAACGACCTACCGACTGAGAAATTCAGCGAATATTGTACTAATGCATGGCCGTTTTCTGTGTAATATGAGAGATACAATTATCTGATTTCGTTGTCGTCTTCTCTGCGTACGTTTTCGTTCCTTAATGTTCATTACTTATGTAGATCGATGATCGTCTGACGTATTTAATTAACTTTCATTTTGATCTAATGGTGAACGTAGAGCAATTGTTGACTGTCCAGATTAGAGAAATGAGGTTTGTTCTGTCCATTGTATGCGCAGTTGACTACAGTTGACCAGTCGTTTTATCTTGACTCAGCAAACAAGATATTGATTTAGATGGAGACAGAAGGAAAAAGGAAACAACTCTACGATCAATCATGTGTATTTATCTATCGATTAGTCTCAATCTTTGTCCATCGGATTTTATTGACATTCCACGCTCGTTATTGTCCCGTTCATAATGTCTTCCGTATTTTTTTCTTGCCTATTGTAAATTCGATGACATGGCTGATTTCAACTTATTTTCCACGAAAACTGATATTAAAAAGTTATTATTCACAGCGGATAAGTTCAAATTCAATGAACAGGACTCCAATGAATCATGGCAAGATTTGCCCGGTGTAACACCCACATCACTACTTGCCTCTATCGCTGATAATCAGTACATTCATGATTCCTCGTTATCATCGCTAACGGACAATCGAAATGAAAATGGTTGGGAGACACTTGATGACTATTCGACAATACCCAAATCATACGGCTTCAATTACGAACGCAATTCGACAAAACCGAGTGGACACTGTCGACTTGATCGACGTGGCCATTGGCTACTTCTGCCACCATCGCCACATCATCCGCCTGAGAAAGTTCCAGAGAAGAAGCGTTCGTCAAACAATTCAAATCCCGAACAAATCTTTCCAGACTCGTGTGAAAGTCTCACGGTTTCTGTTGATTTACATATTCCAACCGATGAACTAATGACTGACAATGATGGTGACAACGATGGCGATGGACACAACACAACTGAACGACAAAATATCACAACAGACAAGTCGCGAAACAAATCGAGGTAGATTCATCGCGTTACGCCTAGACTAACGTCTTCTCTCTTCTCAGAAAATCTGACATAGCGCACATTTTTCACATATGGCTTTCTTCGAATCCTTTCTCATTTCGCGTTGTTCTACGTAAATCCAGTACATGTAAATACATGACCTTAATACTGGATCACCTATTGTATGATCAGAGTTTGATTACGTAAATACTCGTGTAGGTATTCTCATTATGTTCTTTGCATTGAACAAAACAATTGAATCAATCAAATTCAATGTAAATTGTTTCCTATTATGTAGATGTATTAAACCTCATCACGGTAAATTAGCTAATCAGGTTCATCAGCGAGTAGTTTACGAACAAGACCTACCGATTCGTTTTACATTGGAAGAATTTGTAAAAAGGTTTGATTGAACGTTTTCGTTGCAAAGTAATTATGTTTTTGTGTGAATTCTTTGTAGATACAAATTTATTTGCTATTCTTCGAGTAGTCCAATTAAAAACAACGCAAAAGCATGCGAGAGTATTGTTAAACATCTTAGATTCACAGACTATATCATTGACAAATCAAAAGTAAAGAAATAAATTTCATCTTTGTCCCTTTCATGATTGATTATTTTAGATCTCATTGCAATTCGAACATTTAAAAATCTTAAATCAACATTTCGAACAGTACCTATCGAATATCATTACTTGTCAAAAATATATTAGAGGATATCTTGTTCGAAAAGATTTACTACGCCGTGCGAGACGAAATGCCAAAGAACGCCATGATTTTCTCACTCAAGTTCGTTTAACAAGTAAAAACACAATGGATAGATTATCAGCATTACCAAAAGTATGCTCGAATTTTATCGATAAAAAAGCTTTACTCTCGTTTTCCAAAGGTTTCAACGAAAACTATTGAATTGACAAAACCAGAAAATGACAACGCTATTAAACGTTCGAAACACTTTATCAAAAGAAGAACGAAAGATAAAAAAAACCCGGCACCTTCGATTCCCGCTGAAGCAATTCCTATGAATGAACAAGAACATCATGATATGCTTAAAGTAGCTAAGGTACACACCAACATACTTCCGATAAGAGCACGATCTTATATGAAAACTTTTAGAAATTACAATTACTCGAGAAAGATGATGTCGATGAACTCGAAGGTGTCGACCATCGAATAACATCAAGTAAAACAGCAGATGGCATTCGATCCTCTGTTGAAGGTCTATCTGAACGTGAAGTACGAATACTTGTTCAAGACGAATTCACACCTGAGACGATGGCAACACCAAAACAATTACCACAAAAGCGATTTCCAATCGAAACAAATATTGCATCGGGTTCGGGCCTACCGAGTATCACAACGGCTGATAGTCCTTTGAAAGTGCATGATGGAGCCATTTCAATAATGGCGGCGAAGGTACCTATTGCACCAACAATGAAACTATCGGCAGCTGAACAATTGATTCGAGAAACGAAAGTTGCTGCTACAAGTGGAGATCTATTTATGACAGGTAAACCATCTATAATCTTTTGGCCGATTTCAGACAGAAGTATGAAATAATTTAGATTGGGCGGTTGGACAAGAGGAAAAGAAACATCCAACTACTGTTCGCTCAAAATCTGAGCCACGAAATATTTTACTTGCTCTACAAGACCAAAATATGTTATCCGAACAGAAGCGCGACATTATCAAAAAAATTCTAATGTTACAACGACAAAAGTTCAAAGACAATCAAGCCCGTAAAGCAAGTAAAAGCAATGAATTTGAACATTCGACATACAGTTTTGCTCAAATGGATCAGACAGTAAAGAATGACGATGATGATCTTTTGCCCGACGAGTAAATTTCATAATTCAATTGTTCATCTTCTTCTCCATTTGAAATATAATTTAGTGAACTGGTCGATCCTTGGGACACGCCACGTACAATGGATGTTCGTGAAGCCTATGAGAATACAGTACATTGTTATCGCCTGTCTATGCGACTGTTAAAACTTGCTACTTATATTGTCTTACATATCGGTGTGCTAGCAACTGCATTAGTGAGCAAAGGTGCTTTATTATTGATGACAAACTCGGTGGCACATGTCCAAGAGGTAAGAACGACTGTTTCTTGAGATCGAATCTTTCCGATGATCTTTCTAGACACCTTATCGTGAACGTTGGGTATGGATGTTACTGGCAACCGTTTGTGCTCCATATATCTTCACATTCATCGATAGTTTTGGTACATGTTTATTTGGAAATAAACCATGGCCAACTGTGAAGATCTTCACGATTGTATGTTTTAATGTAGTTGTCGCATTTGATGCGAGATATGTTTTGTTTCTAGGTTTTCTTCATTGAAACTTTACATAGTTTTGGTATTGCGATATTTGTTTTTCATATTCTACCAAAACTGGATGCAGCACGAAGTTTGTTGCTTATGAACGCCGTGTGTCTTGTTCCTGCCTTTTTAAAATTATTTTTGACGAAATCGAATTCATCTATTGTACGACGAAGTCTTTTATTTCTTATGGACTTTTTTGCATTCGCAATGCAATGTTCTTGTATGGGTATTGCATTGGCATCAAAATTTCTGAATACCGATAGTTCTATCGTTGTGCAAGCGACAACATCTTCTTCGCCTTTACTTTTTTCCGATGGCACAACAACGCTACCACCCCTAAGTCGACATCGACGACAAGATGAGTCGGTAACGATCTTCTCCGATATCAATGAGAATGATATGCTCACAACATCTATTAGTAATATTAGTTCAATAGATAAAAATTTACAAACAATTTTAAGTAGTTTCTATGTTCAATGGGAACTACCGGTTGCATTGATTCTTGTTTCGTTAGCCTGGTAAGACACGGAACATCGATTTTTTTCGTTCAATCTTAATCATTTGTGCAATTTTCTTGTTCAGGTGGGAAAATTTTATCGATCGTGACATTAAAATAGGTAATCGTACTATAGTTCATATGAAATTATTAAAAGAAAATATCGTTGCGACACGGGCCAAGACATCGTTAATCATTACATGTTGGAAAGTATTCGTGACATTGATTCTCGCCTATCTATTTCATCATGGTATTTTTAATACGTCGGTGGTCTTTCCAATTCATGAAAATTACGAACAATTGCAAGATCCATTACCGAAGTTATCGCCAGGACAAAATCCTTGGGCATCATTAGGTTTTGATCAGCAACCAATGCAAGGGTTAGTTCCGCTGACATCACCGCGCGAACGTCGGTCAATAGACAATATCACTGCGTATGTCAAACGACAGAAACGACAAATGGACATCGATATACCAAACGGCTACACTTTGGATGGTGAAACGGCGAACTTACTTGCCAGTGGAAATAATCCTGCAGGTGGTGAACACGGATCAGTAAATCCACGTGATCGATGGATTTATTATTTAGCTCCTATGATATTGAAAATTATATCCGATGCATTATGTTTCTACATGGGTCGTTTAGCATGTAAACTCTGTATGCAACGGATATGTTTTGCCTTACCAATTACGTTAGTTACACCTTTGGCTCTGACTATTTTGTTAGTCATGTGTTCTGCAGCACCGCAAACAACTGTTTTCGTGGACAAATTTCTCTTCTGGAGTTGCTATGCTGATTATGCCAAAGATTCCTTTCGTTGGCAAGTCATATGCGGTCTTTCTCTTTGGTGGTTATCGGAATTATGGATTGCTGGACATATTTGGTTTGGAAAAAGTCAACGTTTAGCTTTTACTGAACGGTAAATCGACTCGGAAAAGATTCCATCCATCTGTCCTCTGTTTTATTCTTTCTATTTCAGTTTATTTGTTTCTCCACGTTATTGTGCAACCTTGCTTGAACAATCCTTAATGATGAATCGACGTCGAAACGAACGTGACGAGATACTTTCAGGCACATACGATGAAATGGGTACAGTGAATGGTGATACCGAATACGACGAGCAAAGCATGGAAGAATTATCCATGGAGAAAAAACTAAGTGCAGATGTACATACAAAGATCTACTCATGTGCGACTATGTGGCATGAAACTGAAACGGAAATGTTACAACTATTGAAATCAATTATGAGGTTTGTTAGTTGTCTTCTGTGTTTTTCTCCGAAGTCCGATCGATTCGAATATTTGTCGTTCTATAGATTGGATAGTGATCAATGTGCACGTCGAACTGCTCGTAATTACTTACAATTGAAAGATCTTGATTACTACGAATACGAAGGACATATTTTCTTTGATGATGCTATGGAAGAAGATGAAAACAATGAACAAGTACCTAACAAATTCGTTCAGCAACTGCTAGGAGTGATTGATCGTGCAGCGACGTATGTCTTTAGATTATTTTCTTTCTTCAGTTTTTAAACAATCAATTGAACCCGTTTAGAGCTATACATCAATGTCCAATGAAAATCCCTCCACCATTCAAGACACCAACACCGTATGGTGGAAGACTAACGTGGATTCTACCAGGTGGAAATTTCCTCATCGCACATATCAAAGATAAAACAAAGATTCGACATAAGAAACGTTGGAGTCAAGTAATGCTATTGAATCATATTTTTGCATTCCACCCAATAAATTTAACTTTAGGTCATGTACATGTACTATTTACTTGGCTATCGTCTTTTTGGTGACTTGAATATTATCGAAAAACTGTATAAACGAAAACGAAAGAAAGATTCATCGAAGAGTAAATCGAAGTTATTCAAAGGTTTCGGAAATTTATTAAACAATATGGACAATAAGAAACGAATACAAGTACGACTTATCATATGGATTTCATTATCGAAGCATGAAGTAATGCTTTTGTTTAGATGGAAAATACTTATCTATTAGCCCTGGATGGTGATGTCGATTTTCGACCTGAAGCTGTGCGTTTACTAGTTGATCGAATGAAGAAGAATAAAAAAGTCGGCGCAGCATGTGGACGTATTCATCCCGTTGGAAGTGGACCAATGGTTTGGTACCAGAAATTCGAATACGCTATTGGTCATTGGCTTCAAAAAGCAGCAGAGCATATCCTAGGCTGTGTGGTACGTTAAACCATGTTTGAGAGAGAATGTCAGGAAATAAATTTTGTGCTATTTAGATGTGTAGCCCGGGTTGTTTCAGTTTATTTCGTGGTTCTGCACTGATGGATGATCATGTTCTTCGTACGTACTGTACAAAATCCACCGAAGCTCGACATTATGTACAATACGATCAAGGTTTGATGCTGAAGATTTCATGAATACGATCACTCCAAAATTCCGTTTTCAGGTGAAGATCGATGGCTATGTACACTTTTATTGCAAGAAGGATACCGAGTTGAGTATTGTGCAGCATCGGACGCTTTAACATATGCACCGGAGACATTTCACGTGAGTATTTTTATGCAAAGAACGACGTAGTTCAGTTTTATATTTACAGGAATTTTTCAATCAACGTCGCCGATGGGTACCATCTACCATTGCAAATATCTTGGATTTTCTTGCCGAATATAAACGCATCGTCGTTGTCAATGAGAGTATTTCGTACTTATATATTATCTATCAACTCTTTCTTATGGTTTCAACCGTACTGGGACCGGCAACGGTACTTCTCATGATTATCGGAGCGTTCAATGCTTGTTTCGGTAGGTCGATTAGGAAAACTTTGAAAAAGAATATTGTATCTGCTGTTCATTTAGGTACAAGTCTTTGGCAATCAATGTACATGTCGGTATTACCAGCATTTTTCTATCTACTATTATGTTTTCATACGACCACTGACTTTCAAATTCGTGTTGCTGCCTTTCTCTCAGCTGTTTACGCTGTCATCATGATGGCCGTTATTGTTGGTACGACTATTCAAATAGCAGAAGATTCGTGGACATCTCCGAATGCTGTTTTCTTAATGTTGCTGCTTTCAATCAATTTTATTGCCGCCTGTATGCATCCACAAGAGTTTTGGTGTATAGTTCCGGGCATATTGTACTTTTTGTGTATACCAAGTGGATATTTGTTCTTGTTGATTTACTCGTTGTGTAATTTGAATATTGTCTCTTGGGGAACACGTGAAGCGCCGAAAACGAAGAAGAATCAAACGAAGGAGGAATTAGAACGTGCGAAATTGCAAGAGTTAACGCAAGCCAAACAGAAATCGGCTGGTTTTTTCAATCAAGTAGGTTCAGTTTTTGAAGAAGAGTATTGCTTCATTTATTTTATTCTCAAATGAAGGTATTTGCTAATTTTAATTTTAAAAAATACGATGAGAAAATTCGTGCCTATGCTCGAAAATGGCTCGGATTAGAACGATCAGGCTTGAATGGTTTACTTCTCCAACAAATTCTAAGCGCAGTTGAACGTATGGAAAATGTAAGTTGCATCTTCAGTAGAGACGATCCAAAAAAGTCAATTCCAATTCTAGAGCAAATTTGATGAAGAAATGGAAGCCGTGGCAACGACAGGTCTCTATCCCGAACGAAATAAAACACCAGTTGGATCGGAGATTGATGCAAAATATGGTCTGATGCAATTAGCTGCTCGAGCTGGTTCACCTGGCATAACAGGTACGCCAATCAATCGCGCAAGTTTTCCACATGTTGATCCTCAGCAACAATTGATTTATCGTGGCATTCAATCAGTTCGCAGTACACCGTACGGACAGGTCATGTCTTATGGAGGTGTGTCACGTCCATTTGAAACACCTGTTATAAAACGAGATGAATTGGGTATGATAAATTGGATAAGAATCGATATTTTCGAATTGCCTTTCTTTTTCAGTAAATCCCGCATGGATCTTTCATAAATCATTACTCGATTCAGAAGTAGTTATGCTTGATCCACGTGAAACGAAATTCTTTCAAGGAGTTATCGAACGTTATCTCTATCCATTGGTCGAAGATAAAGATCATCAGAAGAAAATAGTTGGTGAATTGAAATCATTGCGTAACAATAGTTGCTTTGTTTTCTTTATGATCAATACATTATGGATAGTTATTATCTTTTCATTACAATTAGTCGCCGAGCGTATACGTGAATTTGTCTTTATACCAATCAAGCGTTTACACAATGAACCGTTACGTTTCGAGCCACTTGGCCTAGGTTTTCTCCTATTCTTCGCTACTATTTTACTTGTTCAATTCGTCTCCATGCTGTGGCATCGTTACGGGACATTACTGCATTTATTAGCATCCACGGATTTGAAAATCTGCCAATCGAATAATGGACAGACCAGTCGACATAATCGTCGCGGTGATTTTACCGTTGACAATGTCGAAGATGCTGTCGAACAAGTTAAAGCTCTACAACAACCGAAAGGTTTCGACGAAGAAGATCTACCCGAACCGGATTATGACAATGATGAAAGACAAGCATCAGAGCTCGATCTCTCCACCACTGGACTTATCTATCGTGGTAATGGTCGATACCTTAAACATTCAGCATGTACATCTCAACAATGGAGCGAAGCCGCGAAAGTCAATGATATGCAAAGAAACTTAGACACAACTGATCACAGTGATCTATCTCAAATCATGGCAGGCTCAATTCATACTTACGGAAGTAATTATGATGCGATTAAACGACGGCAATTATCGAATAAACGCCATTTATACTATAAATCACTTGATCACGTGTTCAAATCACGTTATCAAGCGTTGGCACAAAACAAAAATCCACCACAGAAAAATCCACGTGTCAAACTAACCGACGTTTTTCAACAGCAGCAATTGGCATCATCACGCGCAAGGCGAACATCAAGTGCATTGACCGTGCCGGAGAACTCCAGCGGGAAAAATCTTTCTCAGACATCGGAAGTCATGAAGAAACATCGAAGAAAATCTAAAGACCATCACTTAGAACATTTGTAATATGAAACGTGTGTGTGTGTTGTTGTTTTTTTTTCCATTTTAAAACGTTATGTTATTATTTCTGATTTCAAGACAAAAAGTTACATAAATCAATGAAAAGCAACGTTCGAGAACTTCAAAGTGCCGACATCTAGAGAAAGAGTCGATAATCAGCTGGCCGTTTGTCTTTGAATCTGACCAACAGTTACAATGATGATGTATTGTAGATATGCGCGAGCGAGAGAGCGTTCGTGAATGAATGCAAGCAATGAATCAGTAGATGGCTTTTGCTTGCATTTTTTATTCTTTTAACACGAAAGTAAATATGGTCTTTCTCCTACTCGAAGAAGATTTCAACATAAACA